ATTTGAAATTAGATTAAGTCTAATCTCATGTGAACCGTCTGTCTGAACAGTGTCATGCACCTTCCTGTATGTCTTGACCAATACATTGTATTCATCCATTGTTGACTTTATGTCGTCTACAATCTGACTGTCAAGTTCCTTTGTTTTTGTATGTTTTTTCCCTGAACTGCAATTAAATGAGAATGCATAATCATCATCATGTAATTTAGATGAAAAATTCATGATAGTTCCAGAGTTACATAGCATAAAATTGACAATGCATATAATAAATTGAAAGTACCTTAGAGCTCTAATTCTGTTACTAATTTCATTCTGGGTGTCGTATATGTATAATTGAGAAAATTTTGGCTTCTCATTGTCTTCTGGAAGTAAACTACCCATCAAATGGCTATTATGTCCGTGCATTTTGAACACATAAGGGCCACGGCCATCATTAATTGAACTGACTATGTTACCACCCATAGAAGTAAAAGCAAACATATTATTATATGCTCAGATATTTTCCAGGAACTGAATACTTTTCTCAGTATTAGAAATAAATAATGCTTTTAACTTTGGAGGTGGTTCAGTTAACAACGGAAGATGTATTCTTCCTTGTTTGCAACATATAGAAAATTTAGGATGCTGAGGTTTTCTGTACTTGTTGACTCTTTCTTCATACCACATATTCGATCCGCAATATTCACATACATACGTGGGATCTCCTAAATCATCATATTCTACATAACACAAATAATGAGGCATGTTATTGTCAGAAAAGTGATACTTACTGTGAGTAATATATGCATTTAGATTTGATTCAAAATTACCTGTATTTATGTGAGTGAAATTTATGTGGTTGATTTGATACTTTCCAGGCTGCAAACCCTGTTTAACTCGACTGGCTGAGCTTCGATGGGTTATAGATGATTCTAGAGACAAAATCTCAGCAGAATCAGCTGACGAATTCTGACAATGTGATTTCATATGAAGAAACATAATAATACAGGTACTTTTTTAGATGTATATATTACTTTTATGTCAAATCAGTCTGTGTAACTGTTAAGTACAATAAACACTTGAAAAGAAAGGGTAAACTTGGAATATAAACTGTACCTTTAACTTTAGTTACATTTTTATGTAACTGTGAATTGGAATTGCAACCTTGATTAGCACTTGCTGTATACTTAATTTGTTGTGAAAATGTATTCCTGAAAACATTTCCTGTGAAATTGTTGGAATCACTTATAACAATACCACCAAGGGTAAGAGGTTGTTCTTAATGAATAACTTTGCCCTTCTTTTTATCAAGCTGTTTCTTCCTCTCCAATCGAGAATCCTTTCCAGAAAATGGTCTTTGCCTGTTGGAGATGACTGGAGATTGGTTATTGATAACTAAACTGAAACGTCTCTGATATAAGATATTCTTCCTCTGATACTTTGAGATCTTAGCAGTCAATAGATCAGGGCGTGGTAATCTTATAGGAACTTTACTTTTAACATATCTTATAGGTCGAAGAACTCTATTCCTTTTCTTGTCTAATGTCTGCTTTCTGAATAACCTTGCAGCCTTTGTATCAGAAATCTTCATCGTCGTTCATATAATTTTTCCTTCTTCTTAAAAAACCAATGGAGTATAGAATCTCCAGTGAATAACTATGAAAAAATATATAATATTTTACTGAACTTCTATAAGGAATAATATGTTTGATATTGATGATTGATAGTGGTTGAGTAACTTATCTTGCTTATGTAAATGATAAAGATCACAACATTTTGATAAATATCAATTATAATGAAGTTAATACAGGATATTATAATAATAATTGACAAAGGACTGGAGTTTTAATAATGGTGATAAGCAATTTACAGAATTATACAATCCATGGTATTAAATAAAAGAATATATTTCCAAACTATAAAATAATTATGTACTATGGATATGAATAAAATCTTAAGTGAAAATATATTTTAAATATGGTAATTATAGCTTTACAGCAATACACAATTCATGATATTAAATAAACTTAAATATTTTCCAAAATATAAGATTATTAAGTCATATATATGTGAATAAAATTGTAAAGTGAAATATATTATTAATATGTACATGAAAGATTGCAGGAAATAGATTGATGACATTGTTGACATAAAAATATGTGTAATCACCAAATAAATGTCCAAAAACAAAATAAACTAAAGGTTGAAAATCATTGTACTGAAACTTATAAAAAATAAAAATAACTTATTGTCCGAAAATGAAAAAAAAAACTACACTTGATTACAACACTTCCAATATCAATGACTCCTTGTTGGCTACCTTCTGCGCGTTTATACGAAATCCGAGTTTTATACCAGTTGGGATCCTTTTCAAAGTCATCATATATTGGAGGTCTCCTTGAACAATGAATCGATGTGGAAAATCTCCAGAACTGGCGCGAACCATACTCATTATAGGTTCTCCATCGTAGTATAGGATCAACAATTGATAGTCTTGAATGTCCAATCTTCTGACAATGTGCCATGGTATTTCCTGTGGCAAATAATTGAGTCAGTACATTTAAACTTGTTGATGAAAAACACAATTCAATTTAAAAACTTTTGTTACATATTATAGTAAGATGTAATATTAAAACAGATCACAAATTTTTACCAGTCGGCCTTTGTTAATTACATCATTGGTCATAACCACATTGAAAGTATTCTGATCACTGTTGGACCTTATGTAGTTAATTATGTCAACCTCACCTGTGAAGAAAATATTACACTTGTTATGAATTCTATATAAACACATAGGAATATATATGAATTTATATATAATAAAATACAAAGTAGTAAACAGCTGACGTAAACTTATACAAACCTTCAGATGTGTCTGAACCGACTGTGTTTTGATGACTGCTGATACAGTACCCTTCTTTGTTAAATACCCTGACTCTAAAGTATTGGTTTCCAGTGTAAATTAATATAACATTTACACATTCATAGTGGTTAAAATAAAAATCATGGAATTCTTCCCACATAAGGCCTTCAAAACCTGCTATAGCATCTTCTTGGGTATATATCTGAAACTTCCATTGCTTCTGATTATCATCAATTACCAATGAAAGCTTTTGTTCTGAAGGCCAATTTATGGCTCTAAAGTACTGTGTGTTAATAACCTAAGGTCAGGAGGAAGATAAAACAGATGTGAAATAATTCCATATATTATAAGATTAAAAGCCAAGTACCATATATGAAATTCTAGTTAAAAAAACTTACACATCGATTGGCAACGTTTGGATTCAATTCCAAAAGGTAACGACTGCCAATATTTGCAGTTGGATCTGATCTGAGCCGCTGTGTTCCATCAAATAAAAAATAAAATAACTGAAGAACTTTTCTTTGTTGATGGTAAACAACGTGAATTTTTGTGTGAGGAGATACACCAATGGATGTAAATAATTCTTCTAGAGCATTCCCCCACAACTGACATCTTCTTTTTTTCGTAATATGTAAATTTGCAAACACAGTTTGTTTTCCCTAGAATTCAACCATTATTTGCTTACCGACATGCTTCATATTTGCAGTAAGGTTACTGCTAAGTATCTGGTAAAATCAGAAAACTTAGAAACAGGATGATATATTATATATTAGATAGGCAGAATTGATATTATATACTTACCAACCCCTTTCTCCATATGTCTGTTGGGACAGTAATAAGTTGATCGTACCCAAAATCCATGGCAACTTGTGTTCTGCCTGTTCTTAGAATGAAAAGCACTGTGAAAAGAAGGAGAAAGAACTTTGTAACGATCTAGATACGTTATGTGTAAATATAAATAGTCGGGATATGTTGTACAGCTATTTAAGGCACCTTAAAATTAGGAACAGATGTGTCAGTTTGGAGGAATTCTATTCCAAATCAAACTGCTATTTCAGTCTTTGATAATGACAACTATTCAGTTTAAATTTAACTAATATTTGATCAATATTCTGAAAGTCATATTTTTTTTATGTACTGCCTTTCTGTTTTCTGTTTATCTAAATATATAGTTAATATTAAACTGTGCATTAGTTTTTAAATAATTTATATTGGAAATATAACTTGTATACATATAATTGTATTTAGTTTTTGTCAGGTAAGTGTAAAATTTACACAACCAATAATTTACTACAAATAATTCATATTCTGAAATCGTTATATATTAACTGATAACATTGAAAACATGATTGTATACTTTTTAAAACAAACCTCAGAAACCTAAAAGGTGTACTTATTACAGGAAAAACAACCGAAATGGCTGAAAAAGTAAGCTGCAAACTAAACATTAGTAACAATGAATCTGCTATTAATGAATAGATCCTTCCTTTAATACAAAGATACAAAAACTTGTAGCGTGCATTTTTGACACGCTTGTTGGAGTTGAAACTGACACTTATTCACTAAGTTGAGGAAATGATAAACTGTTCAGTGGAGCATGTGATCTGTTTCATCTCCAGGAAGTCAATTATACGAACAGGCAGAGCACAAAAGTGGAATCTGCAAATATAAAGCATAGTAAGTCATCAAATTTTTCCACTTTCAAGTAAACCATGTATTTATATGTACATAATATAAATACATACAATGTTCCTTACCAGTGCATGTATACTCATATTTTAGAAGTATTGCAGCATGATCCATCAACTTCAGAAGCCTGCACTTTTTATTAGGAAGTAATAGCAAATATGAAGGCAATGATCTATTGTTAGAAGGAACATAAAAATTATAAGAAATGTAAACTGGATACAAATATTCTCAAGCTCAATAATGCAAAAATGGAAATCACAATATCATACGGCATACTATTATGAAACTTAAACAAATAAGTTTGAAACAACCATGATAAAATCCAACGGATGTACTGATCTCACAGGAGAAAGACGGATTAAAGGATAAAGTTCCGAATGAAAACTAAATTCGGTGAAGGGAAATAAATTGTCTGCAACATTAATCCTTTATTAAGACAGTAAAATTTTTTTGTAATTGTTCATTCGGATTAAAGATTTCTGATACGCTTGTTGGGCTGGGACTTGACACTTTTTTCGCCACATTGTGCAGATGCATGCTTCTTCGGTGGAAGACTGTCACCCGTTTCATCTCCAGGAGCTCCCATATCATTATCGTCAGTGCAAGAAACTGCTGTCTGTAAATATAAGGAATAGTAAGTCAACAAACTTGTTCACTTACAGTAATATGTATGTTTTCTTTGTACATTACGTAAACTGTTGCTATCAAATACCTTAGCAGTGCTCTCAGATAATAGGGTTAAATTGTGGCAGAATTCAGCACTTAGCTCAGGATCTATTTCCTGCAAAATGTATGAAATAATTTGACTTGTAAACAATATAAACAGTTATTGCATTGTTACACAAATAAATGTTATAGTTAAAACCTGATCATCTGAAACAACATCAAGGTACTTCCTTATAACGTCTGCATCTGTTATAATCCTTGCAACTGATATCTCACTGGTGTTGTTTCTATTGTTATAGTCTGAGACATCTAGCCTGAACAGACACTTTTTCCCCACAATTTCATCTAGAATGTCAGGGTAACCTTTGGGATACTGTTATAGCATTAGAAAATTAGTAGCAGATAATAATCAATAACTTGAAAGGTATGCAACAATTACAGTTGCATAGAAACAATTATCCCTGTAATGGTATATAATTTGTACCTCTTCACGTACCACAGAAGCGGTCTTGTTTATGAAGTTATACACCATTCTGTCCCATAGAGTACCAATTCTGCTGCCTGAACCATCTACTAAATACACCTGCAACTTGAATCTGAAATTTGTGCAGCAGTTACACATTGTACAAAGTACAATAAACAGAGATAAAGTAAACTTTAGTATGAAAAACATTATAAACTATATAACGTGACTATACTTGTTTTACTTTGCAGCGACGGCAGAAACAGGTCCATGGTTTTTGCACATCCATCTCTTTGCTACTCCAACTGGCTTTTCATTATTTACCTTTCTACCTTTGCCAAAGGCCGACCATTGTTTACCACCAGTGAGGTTCCTTTGCAGATGATTCAATCTCAACAACCTTACTGTTACAGTTGCTACAGCCTATGTATGACCAGTCATACTCTTTTGCCAATCCAGATATCTTTGCAAAAACAACAACACCTAATGCCCGTAAAATATGACAATACAGGGTAAGATATCAATATAGCTTATATAGCAGTAACCTTACTTTGTATGGCTTGAAAGTATATATTAACATGTTACCTGTTCCAAATCATCAATCCCAGCCAGTGTCAACATCTCGGCATCACGCACAAATTCCTCAAAATTTGTGTATCCTGAAATGGAAGATAGCAGGGATATCTTATGGATGCTTGCAGATCTAATATCTGCCTGATCAACCCTGTGAAGGTGAGTTCATTACTTGACACTGCATGGATGGATTCATTTAAGTATTTGTATAAACGGTGACAATAATTTTCTTTTACCTGAATTTGTATTCGTATATATCTGGAATGGTCATGTCATTTAGGAAAATCCTACCATTGAACAGATTCGTTGTGATTGAAACTTTAGCTGGATCAGATTAGAGTATAGGTGTGTCACTAAAACTGCTGAAATTTCTTGTCAACAAACAACGATATATGCTTTAAAACCAAATATACTTACAGTAGTATTTTTTGCATTTGACATACTGAACAATATGGACAACAGGGTAATCAGGATTATTAGTCATCATGGTATAAACCTTGTCTGCGTGCTCATCCCATAATGTGAGCTTTAACCTATCGGCCCTACAATTAATGTAAATATAGTTAAAACCACTTATGTATACTGAATTGAATAAGAATATTTTTACATACAGACGTATTCAAATTATATACATTGGTAAAATCACTTACCTTTCATCTTCCAACTCGACCGAAATCCTCTTCTTACCATTATCAATAATTGGATCACTGTAACCAATTATGTGTCCCAACAAATCTGAGATATATGTATGCATATTATTCATACTTGCATGTTTGCTTAAAAGATACATAAGGAAAATATTATACTAAAAGCTGAAAGATGTTGTCCTTACCAAAACAGAAGTCAAAATTTGCAACAAAATTGGTAATTTCTGCAAAAGGGGTAAATTCAAATACATGATTAGGGATGTCATGGTAACCAACAGATTGAACCAATGTATCAGGTCGGAATACAATTTTGTATTCGTGTTTTGAGCAACGGTATCCCCCACTTATATTCAGGCAATGATCAAAACGTGAGATCTTCCTGGCACAGCCCTCTTGAAGGAAATACTTCTGGAAATCTTTCAAATATCCTCGCAGGTATAGTAGCCTGAATCTTGGATCCCTATATTTTAAAAAGTTTGGACAAATAAGCATATAAGAATTGCATCTTCTTAATGAGTAAAACATTGTTTGATGTTGAAAACTGTATTAAATAATATAATACATGAGCATCAATCAATGTCAACTCAACAGATTTGACATTCTTGTTTTTATTCTCTATCATTTTCCAGATGGTCATAACACGAACAACTATGTGGAAATGGATAGTTTTGGTTGGTACCAAGCCATTGATGTTAGCAATGTACCTTTGTGCAGAACCTGTTGGAAATGTCTGATCAACATTAGGGGGTGTTTGATTTCCAGCAAGTGGTTTTTCAGCATGGTGTTGTTTTTCAGAATCAAGAACAGGTGTATCTGTTTCCACTGAATTAGCAACATTGTGGGTTGCAGATCCAGAAATTAGATTTTTAGGATAGTTTTGATTATGAGAATCAACATCAGGAATTTCTGATGAAGCCATGGGCGTTGCAAAAACAGTGGGGGTTTCTGATGAAGCCATGGGAGTTGCAGAAACAGTGGGAGTTTCTGATGAAGACATGGGAGTTGCAGCCACAGAGGGAGAATGTAAATTTGAATAGGAAACAGAAATAACAATGGAGCTTTAGAATAAATGGTCGCAGGTTTTGGTGAGTATAACATATCTCTATCAAGTTATATATACAGAGCACGTGATATTCAATTCCATGAAAATCTGTAAGTAAGCATATCTCTTTGATTCTGATGTTAACTGAATGACTGTTTCTGAAGGTAAGATTTTGATTTTTAAGGAGATAAACATGGATCAATCAATCAATCAATCACTGATGGTAAGGATATGGACTTGTTATGAATTGTTATTTAATTTAATTTGAATATGTAATTTATAAAATTCAAAACTGTTATTTGGGAAGATTATCTGATATTTACCATATATTTGCAGCAACAATATATGGAAAAGAGACGATTAAGGCAGATTTCAGGGAATCAAACGGATGACGATGCAGTAAAATTTGATAACGACACATATCTGGATGCATGATATAATTGGGATACAGCAACTCTGCAAATTTTACAGTTGCGTTTTTGTATTGTAATAAACAGAATTGTTACTAAACATCTTTTTATTTATTGTTTATTATCAACCTTACTTACATTTATTGATATACATATACTGTAATTATGAGATTGATTCAGACGGCCAAAATTTAAGGGATATAACTTTGGTAGTTTTTTTTTTCTTTTATTTTCTTAAATAAATCCCTGAAAAAATTTCGTCAAACATCATTTTTCTGGTCATCTGATGAGCCACGTGGCATTTTTCATTTTGTACTGAAAAGTAGCTTTGGCGGGAAAATTTTTAATGTGAAGCTAACACGTGTCCTTGTTGTATGTTGCTTTAATTAAGTACAATGGATGATATCACCCAATATTATGTACTAATATTGAGCACAGAGGATTGGACATCCTTCTCTATTAGTAAAGGACCAAATTACGGGTAAATAACATATTGGAATTGGATTCTATTGAAATCAAATGCATAAACACACAGCCTAAATCTAATCATATACTTTCGAAAGATTCGTGACAAACAAACTAACATTGCATCTAGCACTAACGTTTATTCCCGTAAATGAAAGTTCCAATCCGAGAGGATAAATCGATGCATCTCAACTTTTTTTCTTTCTTCTTTTTCTCCTTTTCTTTTCGAATTTCAGTTTCAGTAAAAGAGGGAAAAAAAATTAGAAAGCCTATACAATCAAGATCACAACGAGACTGCATGTCCTCATCATAACTAATTAACTAACATAAAAACTAACTCTAAACAATCTTCCAAATAAATTGAATTACATGTAATTGAAAGGAGTCAGTTAATTTCATCGTACCCAATTTATCTCGAAAAACATAAATAACTAACCTAGCAACAATATCAAGCAATCGGTTTATAAACTTAGATAGAAGATTATTTCATTCCTACAAATCATATACTCCAGAATTGATAACACCATATGATGGGAAACGTTAACAAGACGGTTGCCTATCATTAATTCTGGTAGAATTTTTAAATTCAAGGTTTACGATTATTGATTTGATTTCAAATAGCGATGACCATTCAATACAGTGGTGGTTATAAACATGGTGAGAATTAATTTCTCTGTATTATAAAATATTTGTTCTATTTGTCGTATAATTAGTTTTTAGTGTATAACAATAAAATAATGATTTCATTACTCTAATAAAATTTTTTCTTCACTTTCATGACAATATTTCATAGATCTGAACATCCAAGATGATTTGTTTGGTATTTTTAATGTGTGTTTAGGTGTTTCTTTTACTGAATTATTTTTTGCAGTCGGAAAAATTACTCTTTTACAGTCGACTGGATATCTTCGCCCTTCTCCCTCATTTTCCCCCTTCTGTCCTCCTTTTCCCCCTTCCTCCTCCTTCTCCTTTCTTCTTCTTCACATTCAAACCCAAAAACTCAATCTTAAACTTAGATCTACAAAGATTCAGGAGCTAAAAAAATGGCAGATGGAGGCAAACAACGTCGGGGAAGCTCGTCTTGTGCACCGGTAAGTTTTTTTTTTATCAAAATTGTTATCAAAAAATTCGAAAAAAAAATTAAAAAAAAATAATTCTGGAATGGGGAAGCCAGCGTCGGACCGGCTAACCCAGTTTGGGTAACCCCTGCGGGATCGGCTACCCGGGGAAAGGTAGCCAATCCGAAACCGGCTACCTTTGGTAGAGTAGCCGATTTTGATCCGGCTACTCTTCCAAAGGTAGCCGGTCTCGAGGAAGGTATCCGATTCCACGGGGGCCGGCTACCCCTGAGTAATTATTTTTTTTATTTTTTAATATTTATTCTGTTTGTTATTATTTTTGTTATATTTAATTTATTTATTGATTTTATTTTTCAATAATTAGTTTTAATTATATTTTGTTATATATTATTGATTATAATTTATTTGTTGGTGTTGATGTTATAATAATTAAATAAATTTGAACAAGAAGTATAATTAGAATTTTAATATAGTTTTAATTATATTAGTTGTTATATTTTAAATAATTATGGCATCTTTTAATTTACGTATTATAATTATTTTAATAATAATTTAAATAGGTTATAATTTAAAGATATTATAATTATTTGAATTTTTTACCGTAGTTTTAAATATGTGGTTGTTATATTTAAAACATTAGAGCATGTTTTAATTTATGTGTTATAATTATTTTAACAATATTTCAAATAGGTTATAATTTAAAGATGTTATTATTATTTGATTATTTGATCATATATTTAATATATGTGTTGTATTAATTTTTATGTGAATTATAGTAATAGTGTAGTTATATATTAATCAATGTAGGTTAACGAAAAAAGACCGAAAAGGACCAGTTGTACCTGATTCTACATTGATGGTTGGGTCTGGTCCATGGAGACTTGACGAGGTATTTGATCAGGCTAGTCTGGACTGAGAGAATGTCATTGACGAAGAAAATGTTCCATTTGAGAATTTCGACTCGGATGGGTATGATCATTTCGAAGATGACACACCACTATCTCCACCTCCAGTTAGAACTCCCCCTGTAGTTAGACCACGCCTTATTGTTCGTCATGGTGGCAGTGAGTCTACGGCTGCATCATCATCATCATCAAGTATAATATTTATTTTTTTAAACATATTATAATATTTTTTTTTCAATTTTTTTGGTATGATTTATTTTTAATAATTTCAGTGAGCAGTGCCGACAATTGGATTGTGACAGGGCCAGTTAAGGGTGGCCCTCAGGACAGTTCTGTTATTCCCAGTTTTCTTGGGCATGTGGCCAATCTCTTGACAGAGTATTCGTATAAAAGCCCCTTAGAAATGGATACAAGAATCACATACTTCCAAAAATTGAAAGATTGGAAGGATGGTATGGGGCAAGAGGGGAAGAACTTGGTGGAGCATACCGTATTGTCCCACATTACGGGCATCAGGCACAATAACATTGATAAGACACTCATTACAGCATTTGTGGAGAGGTGGCAGCCGGACACCAACACGTTTCACATGCCTTTTGGAGAGATGACCATTATGTTGCACGATGTGTGATAGATATTGGGCATTCCCCTTGATGGTAGCTTGATTACAGCACAGCCTGAGGTTAGTGATTGTCATAATTTGGCCATGAGGATGTTGTTAGAGCCTGTTCAGGATCTAGTCACTAGTAAAGCATATCAGGGTGAAGGGATTCAGGGGAAGAAAGTCGTGCAGTGTTGCCGTATTGGTGGGTTTGCTCGAGATCAGGCGATTGCCTGGATATAGCTCATGTTAGGGAACACGTTGTTTATGGATAGGAGCGGGTCTCGGATTAGAGTGGTGATTCTCTCAGAGATTATTGATGACCTAGCCACTTGTCACGAGCTTTCTTGTGGCTCTGCTACTCTAGCGTATCGTTATCGCCAGCTTGGCGTATCCACCAGAGCGCAAAATGCCTCATTTTCTGGGTGCTTCATACTCATTCAGGCGTGGATATATGAATACTTCCCACGCTTCAGACCAGGTGGGGACCGTGCCTCAGGGGATCTTGAATTGCCTCAAGCTGGATGGTGGGATGTCCCAGGTCTTGATAATAGTGCAGAGCATCTGAAGAGGCTTCGGCGGGAGATCGATGGCCTGACAGACACAGATGTGTGTCACATTTAGCAATCTTGATTATGAATTATTATGTAAAATATCGTTGTTAACATTTCTTATGTTTTTTCTGTAGGTGACATGGTGCCTTATGGACTCGATCCTGTTGACGATGATCCGAGGACCTTGAGTAATGCCTGGATACAGTACCTAGATATTATTAAGCCATACTTGCCTGCACGAGTATTGCGACAGATTGGGTACATCCAGACCATTCCTCCACCTATCCCTACTCCCTCGGAGGTGGCTCGTAGTGGTAAATCCAAGCTGTGCAAGGTTATATGGTCACGCACTAGTGCGTTAGATGCTTGGGCTCAATTCCCGTTAAATAGCAAGCTCGATCTAGGCGAGTTACAGCCGAGTGATAAAGATGAGACTGCATGCGTAGAGGGTTACTTGGACTGGTATTTTGGAGTTTCGCATCCTCTGCTTGTTTTGGATCGCGCTACTGTTGGGACTTCGAGAGCTGGAATTCGAAACTTATCTCACCTAAGTCTTTTGTCTATAATAAGGTTAATAAATTTAGTTACGATTTGTTTAATATAATATTAATTTGTTTTTCTTATTTTTTTGTGTAGTGGATCAACCGATTGTCTGTGTTATATGGAGACACACTACATCAATTGCGCACATGGGATCCGGAGACTGCAAAGGAACATGGAACAATGTTTGCTCAATTCACCAAGGATTTTCATTCGAGCCATTGATGTGTATTTGACAAAGTGGAGTGTGTTTAATTATGATATTATGTGTTACTTATTGCATTTTTATTTGACAAAGTGATGTGTGTTTTATTGGACCTATGTCATCAAGTCATCTGCTCTAAAACAAATAAAATTTAAATAACTCGATTTAGCAAATTAAAACAAATTCTTTTGATGGC